TAGTTATAGTTGAAGATTAGTTAGTTATAGTTGAAAATTAATTAGGATAGAAAGTGAATTAGATACATTTTTGACTTACCAAAATAGGATAGATAATGGAATTTATTTTCTCTGATTTGTCCAATACAAATGGACTAGACATTGTTTAGGTGTTTATTACTTGTATATATTGTATATAGTTATTTTACTTTTGTATATAGTTTTTCTTATGTTAATTATAACCTTTTGCTTTTTTTTCTTTTTATTAAAATAGAAAAGGGGAAATATGGTGGTATTCTAATTGTACTGAAATATGATTTTGATTGTATGTTAATAAATAAAGTTGCCCTGGGGTCAGAGCTATTAGAGCCATAGCAAGAGTGTGGTAGTGGTGGTGGCACACGCCTTTAATCCCAGCACTTGGTAGAAGAGCTAGGTAGATCTCTGTGTTTTCAGGGATACAGCCAGCATTGTAGACATATGCCTTTAAGACCTGGGGGGCTGTACAACAGACAGTGATGAGGCAGTCACGTGTTTGGGTTTACAACCAATGTGAAGGCAGAACAAAAGACTATGAAAAGACTTATACACAGGAAATAGGTCTCTTTTGGGATGCTAGGAGCTCACAGGAGGAAGGGTAAGATTTTAGCTCTGAGCTCAGACCTCTCGGCTTCCTCTTTAAAACAAACAAACAAATAAATAAATAAATAAATAAATAAATAAATAAATAAATAAATAAATAAAACCTGATTGGTTGTGACTATGCAGGAAGTATAGGCGGGACTAACAGAGAGGAGAAATAACAGAACAGGAAGGCAGAAGGACAAACTGCCAGCCACCCGCCAGGACAAGCAGCATGTGAAAGTGACGGTAAGCCACAAGCCAAATGGCAGGGTATAGATTTGTGGAAATGGACTAATTTAAGCTATAAGAAGAGATAGCAAGAAGCCTGCCACGGCCATACAGTTTGAAGTAAAAAAAAAAAATGAAAAGGAAGCTATACCCATGATATTACAACAGTACTGATGTCTAAATAAGACCTGGGCATGATGGTAAGAGGGAAATAGAACAAGTTTCCCCCCCTAGAAAAGAACTATAGGCAACTAATGACTGCTGAGAGAAAGAAGAATTACATGTCAAGAAATGAGACCCCCTAATTGATTACTCAATACAAAGTGGTCAGTCATGACATTAAAAAAAATTGATTCATCAGGTTATAATTATAAATACATGCACATTTATATGTAACAATAATAAAGAAAAAGACATCATCAATTAGAGAGGATGTGGGGTATTGGAAGAGAAGGGAGGGTGAAGTGAAGTAATTATATATTATTTAAAGTAAACTAATATAAATATAAAATTATATTATTTAAGATGCATAAAAATAAGTTTTGATGTTTCATCTTACCTCACTCAGAATTTAATTATTTAGATAGATATCGAGATAGATAGATAGATAGATAGATAGATAGATAGATAGATAGATAGATAGATAGATAGATAGATAGATGATAGATAGATAGATAGATCATGGTGTGGATGTAATGAAAGGGGAATATTTACATTTTGTGGGAGTGCAACCTGGGGTAGCTGCTGTGGAAATCAATGTGAAGGTTTCTCAAAAATATAAAAACAGAACTGCCATATAAACTATATTCAGAACTCTTGAATACATACAAAAGAGATTTGTACCCCACCACAGAGGCACTTGTGCATCCATCTTCACTGAGGCTCCATTCACAATAGGAAAATGAATCAACCTAGATGCCCATCAGCTGAATAATGGTTCAGGGGAAATTGTGCCACATAGATGCAATGAAATATTACTAACCCATAAGAAATTATAATCATGAGATTTAGTGTTAGATGTATGGAATTGATAAAACTTATCCTGAGTAATACAAGCAGATCAGGAAGACAAATGTCATGTTCTCTCTTAGCTGTGGATGTTATCTTTGAATCCTTTGTGTGTAAGATTAACCTGGACTTTACATGGAACCCAGGTACTTAAGAAAGAAGCCCTTTGGGGAGATACACATAAATTGAGGGGAGATATTAAAACATGAGGAAAATGGGAAATACTGGAGGAGAAAATAAATAAAACATTGAAAGGAGAGGGGTGGGAAATGAAGGAGTGGTGGAATGCCTAATTAAAATGAAGGGTGTATCTAATACTATACAGAAACCTATGAAATAGCCACCTGTGTAATATACTGTATAATTCGAGTGGATTGTGGAACACAGGTAATGAGAAATAGGTGGTTGGGATAATCCAGGTTAAAAGTTTAAGTGAGGATGGGGATGGGATGTTGAAATATATGTATGGATATTTGCATAAGCCTTGTGGAAATACACTAGTTTGTAAGCTAATTAGAAATATAATGTATATTGAAAAGAGTTTGGAGAGGAGGTTTCTCCACATGTGAACAATGATGTTTTCAAAAGGTATTAGTCAGTAAATGAAAATGTGTTCCCAGCATAGTTACCTCCCTACAAGTTTTGGTCAGAGAATCACCTGAAACAATGCAGGCAACTGCCACCGCTCTTATTTGTGAAATATAACTAGATGGTAAAACTTTTTTGAAGACATCACTGCTGTAGGATGTTCTGTATGTCCTGTGGGAACCCGTTTTTGGGTTCCTTGTGGCTTTACCCAGCAGGTGTGTATAGAGGATGATTAGGACCAGGGGCCTGAGTGCAGGTGTCTGAGATGGTCTGCACTTGGCCGTGCTGGGGAATGGTCTGTATGTCAAGTTTCTCTGATTGGTCAATAAATAAAATACTGATTGGCCCGTGGCTAGGCAGGAAGTATAGGCGGGGCTAACAGAGAGGAAAAATAAAAGAACAGGAAGGCAGAAGGAGACTGCCTGGAGCCACCACCAGGACAAGGAAGATGTAAAGTACCAGTAAGCCACAGGCCACGTGGCAAGGTATAGATTTGTGGAAATGGATTAATTTAAGATATAAGAACAGTTAGCAAGAAGCCTGCCATGGCCATACAGTTTGAAAGAAATATAAGTCTCTGTGTTTACTTGGTTGGGTATGAGCGGCTATGGGACTGGAGGGTGACAAAGATTTGTCCTGCCTGTGGGCAAGGCAGCAAAACTCTAGCTACACATCACTCAACGTTTTTCTAGCTAGCTTTCACAGTTCCAGAAGGTGCAATGGAAGCAGCAAAGAGCAAAAGACAAATTGTCTCCCTCACTGCTAGGTCCTGCATGCTACAATATTGGCCTGCTTGGGAAATATGCCCACTGGTATTATCAGTGACATGACAGTTACAGGGTTACCAAGAACCTTCTACTTGAGTATGAGGCCTACTGTACAGGAGGTCTTTCATACTTACAAGGCCAAAGCCTATAACTAGGGAAATCACAGCTACTAGGTGTGAACACACTGCTAATGTTATATTTAACGGCCATGCTACAATCTGTCTTCTGAATATTTGTGTTTATACCATTAGATTTGGGTCACTTTCAAATTTGGTCAGAGAAGCTTCTTTTTCTTTTTCTTTTTTTAATTGTTAAGAGATTTTTCTATTCATCTTAAATATCAACCACAGATTGCGCTGTCCTCCCTCCTCCCACCTCCCAGTTTCCCACCCAAACAACCCCCAATTCCCACTTCCTCCAAGGTAAGGTCTCCCCTGGGGAGTTAGCCCACCCTTGCAGATTCAGTTGAGGCAGGTCCAAGCCCCTCCTCCCTACTCCAAGGCTGAGCAAAGTGTCTCAGCATAGGCCCTAGGTTCCAAAAAGCAGGCTCATGTACTAAGGACAGGTCCTGGTCCCAGTGCATGTGGGGCCCCAATTCAGTTCAAGCTAAAACTGTCTCACTTATCCAGAGGTCCTAATCCAGTACCACAGGGGCTCTTCAGCTATTGGTGCACAGTTCATGTGTTTCCACTAGTTTGACTAGTTTGTCTCTGTACTTTTTCTAATAATGGTCTCAATATCTCTTGAGACACTTCTTTTTCACAGTATTGCCATTAAGGCAAAGACTCATAGCTGGTCAAAATACAGAGTAAAAGAAACTGAGAGCTCAACCATGGAAGAATCTGCTATATTGCCCTTCACTCAACAAAAGTCATGTGGATATCACAGAAAAGCATGCAAAAAGAATTGAATAGACAACCGAGTCAGAGATTTGAAATGCAGATTTCTGTAAATAACATAACTGCTGCATAGTCCAATTAAGAGTACTTTTGTCTACCTACTCAAGATCAAACTCTTTAAAGTTCTAACATGAATTGTGAAGGATGTGTCTAATGGCACACCATTGGAGGGGCTATGAGCAACTGATGGCTTCTGAGAAAGGGAAAGTCACTCCTTTTGTAGAAATGGCCTCTGTTAGATTGTCCATGCTCCAGTAGGTGGACTCAGACACATGGACACATGGGCAACACTAAGTGGACTCAGAGGGTTATTAATAAAAAAAGAGAATGCATGAAGTTGAGAAGATGACATACTGGGACCACTACAGGGAGTTGAAGGAAAGAAATGGTCAATAGATAAAATAAAAATATTTTGTCTAAATGTATAAGCTCTAGAAAGAATAAAAAAAATTTAAAAAGTGTTCTAAGATAATGTGATGGTTTGTATAAGAATGGCATCCCTAGGCTCATATACTTGAATGCTTGATTTAGGAAGTGGGGCCATGTAGGAGGAAGTGTGTCACTGGGAGTGGGCAGTGAGGGTTCAAAAGACCATGCCAAGTCCAAACACTTTTCTCTCTCTGATTATGGATAAGGATGTAGTTTTCAACTTCTGCTCCAGAATCTGCCGGCATGCCAGCATGTTTCCCGCCATGATGATAATGGCCTAAACCTCTGACACTGAAAACAAGCCCCAGATTAAATACTTACCCTTGTAATAGTCTCTTTGATCATGGTGTCTCTTTACACCACCAGAACAATGGCTAAGATAGTTAGGCTGTGGTTCAAGTCATATAGTTAAAATAAGCAATCACTTGTAGGCCAAATTTAAAATACATACTATTTAACACATTTTTATTTTCCCAACTTAATATTTTATTAATCATTTGAGAATGTCATACAACATACCTCAATCACACTTGATTCCAGGTCCTCCCAGGTCCACCCTCTGACCCTTGTGGCATCCTCCCCCAGAAGAGCAAAAATACAATATAACAAGTCCAATTGGTATTCTCCTTATACTCATTGGAGCATGGTCAAATTTGCAGTAGCCAGCCCTTCAAAGAGGAGTTCTTTCCCAACCCCTGCCTGAAGCTATCAACTGTGAAGAGCTACAGTTAAGTATTTTTATTACAACTTTCAAAAACTCTCCAATAAGATCAAGTCTAGATTTTCTTTTTTGGAGGGATGGTGGCAAAGAAGCCTTCAATGTCCGTGTGAATTTCAGTTATGATTCTACAGTCATTGATACTACTGCAAAAGAAGTTCCTTGCACATAGAAGGCAGTGGCAGTACAGATGAAGGCCTTCCACATGGTTTCCAGCAGCAGAATGAATCATAGACTTCTAGAGGGTTTCCAGGAGCAGCACGGATCATGGTCCACAAGATTTCTGGTGACAGCTTGGATAACTGCCATCCATCTGGCCCAGGATATCAACACAGATCACCAACATAACATGTTTAAGGGAGGCATCACAGATCACTATCAAGATGTCTTCTTGTGGCAGTACTGACCACAGACATCGACACAGTCTCCATCAGCACCTGGGTCATGGATATCCAACTGGTCTTCAGCATGCAACCCAGAGCATGAACATAAACATAGTATTTGGTGGCATCAAGGACAAAGATTTCAACATGGTCTCCAGCCCAAGGATGGCTTAATGATGTCAAAATAGTTTCTGTTGGCAGCTCAGATCATTCATATTGACCTAGTCCCCAGTAGCAGCACCAATCAGAGACATCGACATTATGGCTGACAGCAGCAAAGACTAAAGTCATCTTGGTCATGATCATGGACTCAGGTGGCAACATGGACAATGGACATTCACAAGGTCTAAGATACCAACAAAGACTATGGCCATAAACATGGTTATCAGCGGCAGCATGAATGAGTGACATCAACAAAATTTTAGATGTTAAGTCAGATAATGGACATCCACATGGTCAAAACAGGAAACAAAGATCAGTGACATCAACATGGTTGGTTTCCTGTGGCGGATCATAAACATCAACTTAGTTACAGGTGGCAGACAAATCACAGAAATCAACATTGTATACAGTGCCAACACAGGGCACTTACCTGAAGTGGGTCTCAGGTGGTAGTATATACCATTGATTTCAGAATTGTCACAGATTATAACAGACTAGAGACAGTAGTATGGTTACAAGTGGAAGCAAGTTTCAGTAGCATCAACATGATTGACAGCAACAGCAAAGATCAGTGACATCAACAAAGTTTCAGATGACGGGTGGAATCATGGACATCAGCAAGGTTAAGAGAGGCAGCGAGAATCACTCACATCAACATGGTTGCCTGTGTCAGTATAGATCATGGATATCAACTTAGTTTCAGGTGGCAGACAGTTCATCGAAATCAATATTGTACACATGAGGAACACAGGAATCTTACTTGAACTGGGTCTAAGGTAGCACTATGGAGAATTGACTTCAACAATGTTTCTGATGACACTGTACACTGTAGACATCAATATGGTTACAATGGTCAGAAAGTTCATTAACCTCAACATGTTTGACAGCTACAACATAGATCAGGAACATCAACAAAGTATGGACAGTAGGTTGGATGATGAACATCAACACAATTAGAAGATGCAGCAAAGAACAGTGACATCAACATGATTTCCTGCAGTAGCATGCATCAGGAGTATTAAATTAGTTCTGGATGGCATGTGGGATCAAGAAAGTCAACATAATTCATGTGGGCAGCACAGAATACTTACCTCAGTTTGGTCTCAGGTGGCAGGACAGAACATGGACATCAACATCAACACCTTATCCAGGAGCAAAACGTGACATAAGGCATCAACATGGACTTCAAACCAATAGGAATAGCATAGGAAAGCTCATGAACATGATAAAGAGAACAGCAGGTATCAATGTCATCAACAAGTTTGCAGGTGGTAGCATGTAAATATCACCAGTTTCAGATGGTAGCTGAGATCATGGCAATTAACATTCATCACGTTGGCAGCACAGAACTCTTGCATCAGTAGGGTCTCAGGTAGCAGAATATCTCTAAGGATATGGACATCAATGTCATATCTACAGTAAGAAAGACCACAAGCATCAACAAGGCTTCCAGAAATAGTAGGAAGAGCATGGTAGGTCATTCAATAATGGACATCAATTTGGTTAACAGAGGCACATGGGATCAATGGCATCAACATGGTTTCAGGTGGCACCATGAATAATGGATTTCATCTTACATTTGCATGGTGGGATAAATCTTGCAAATTAACATTCTGCATGTTGATAACACAGAACAATAATTTATTGTAGTCACAAGGGGCAGGAGAGTTATTGGACATCAACAATGTATGTAGTGGTTAAGAAGGAACACAGGCATCTACATGGCTTCCAGAAGAAGCAGGAATAGCATGATGGCCTATGTTAGATATCAATTTGATTAACAGAGTTGGATCAATGACATCAACATGGTTGCAGGTGGCAGCATGAATCATAGATTTCAACTTATTTTCAGACTGCACATTAAATCTTGAAAATTAACATTTTTCTCATTCACAAAACAATGGCAGGAAAGATAGATATAAACTTCATATTGAGCAGCAAGAAGAACCACAGGCATTAACATGCCTCCCAGAAATAGTAGGAATACCATGGAATGTCTGACCATGGACATCAAAACCATTAAGAGGGAGCAGGAAAAAATGGCATCAACATGTTTATAGACAGCAGCATGAATAATGGATATTAACTTATTTTCAGATGATACTTGAATTCTTAGAAATTTACTTTGTTCATGATGAAATAACAGAAAATTTATCTTAATATGGTCATAATTGACCACACAAGTCACCAATATCAAGACGTTATCTAGAGATAACAAGGAGCAGGGGAATCAACATGGCTTCCAGAAGGAATAAGAATAGCATGGAAGTTCTGATCATAGGCATCAACATGGTTAACAGAGACAAGAGGGATCAATAAAATGATCACAGATTCAGATGACACCAAGAATTATGGATATAAAATTAGTTTCCAAGATTAGTGATATCTTGGAATTTAACATTTCAATGGTTAAATTTTGGAACTTAATATTCTTCATGTTGGTGAGAGAACATTTAATTTAACAAGGTAAAGACAGCAGGAGAGATCACAAAACACAATATGGTATCCACTGGTACAAATATGATGGGCATCATCATGGATTTCAAATGTACTAGGAATATCACAATTAGAATCATAAACACCAATATGTCCAACAGAGGCAGAAGGGATCAATGACTTCAACATGTTTGGAGGTGGCACCATGTATTCTGTATATCAACATAGTTTCAGTTGGTGGTTAAATTCTTGGAAATTAATGTTCTTCACATTGAGAGCACAGAACACTTAACATGAACATTGACACAGGTGGCAAGATTTCAAGGAAATCTACATGGAATATACTGGCAAGAAGGACCACAGGCATCCACATGGCTTCCAGTAATGCCAGAAATTCCATAAGACAATGGATTCTGGACATCCCCATGTTTACCAGATGCAGCAGGGATAAATGAATTCAATTTATATGGAGGTAGCAGCAAGTATTCCGGATATCAACTTACCTTCAGTTGGTATTTCAGATCATGAAAATTTACATTCCTCATGTTGGCAAAATGTACACTTACCTTAATATGGCCGTAAGGGGTCAGAGAGGTCAGGGCAATCAAGATGTTATCCCATTAAAACAAGGACCACATGCATCAAAATGGCTTACAGAACCAAAGGAATGCCCGAAAGGTCCTTTCCTAGACATGAACAAGGTAAATAGAGGCAGCAGGGTTCAATGACATCAGCATGAGTGCACATGTAAAGATGAATTACAGACACCAGCTAAGTTACCAAAGGTTCATTAAATTTTAGCAATTACCATTCAATATGTTGCCAAAAAAGAACACTTACATTAGCATGGTAACTTGTAGGAGGAAAGATCATAGTGGTAGGAAGATCATGAGCATCAACATTGCTTCCAGAAGGAGGAGGAATAGCATTATAGTTCCAATCATGGTCGTGAATATATTTAAGAGACTAGGCTGAGATTAAAGACCTCAACTTGTTTGGAGGTAGCAGCATGTATTCAGGATATTCACTTAGTTTCTGTTAGTATATCAATTCTTGGAAATTACATTCTTCATATGGGTAAAGGAACACTTACATAAATAAGGTGATAAGGTGATGGAGAATTGAAAGCAATCAAGGTGTTATCCCATGGTAATAAGGACATGGCTTAGAGAAACAACAAATGCATTACAGGTACATTCATAGAAATCAACAGGGTTACCAGTAGCAAAAGGGATCAATGAGATCAGCATGTTAGGATGTGGCAGCATGAAATATGGATATTTGTTTATTTACCAATGCTTGATACATCTTGGAAATTACCATTCTACACATTGCCAAAAAGGAACACTTGCCTTAATATGGTCATAAGGGACTAGAGAATTTATGGCAATCAAGATGTTAGCCCATGATTCAAAAGACCACCTGCACCAACGTGGATTACAAAACCAATAGGAATACAGGGGAGCTCCATTCATTAATATCAACAGGGTTTGCAAAAGCATCAGTGGTCAATAACATCAGCATGGCTGCAGGTGAGAGCATGAATAATATGTATCAACTAGTTACCAAAAGTTCATTAAATCTTGGAAATTACCATTCTATACATTGGCAATAAGTAACGCCTACATTAACATAAATACCTGTATCAGGAGAGATCATGGAAACCAACATGGTGTCAAGTTGTTTACAAAAGCATGAGCATCAACACTGCTACCAGAAGTAGGAAATGCATTATAGTTCTAAAAATGGATATCCATATGGGTAAAAGAAGTAGCAGGGATCAAGTAAATCCACAAGGTTTTCAGGTAGCAGCATGTTGAAAGGATAGCCACATAGTTTACTTTGGTAGATGGAAGCAGGGAAATTAACTTTCTTCATCATGGAAAGACAGAACATAGTCCAAAGTAGCCGGACTGATGGACATCAACATCAGATCCATGGCCAAGAAAAGAACCCTGGCATCAACATGCTGCTAGAAATAGTAGGAAAAGCATGATATGTCTGGTCACAGACATTAATGACTAAAGTATGCAGTAGGGATGACAAATTCAAATAGTTTGCAAGTGACAGCAAGTATTCCAGATATCAACTTAGTTTCAGTTGGTATTTTT